CTGCCACGCCATGTGGTCACCTCCGGGGCAGGCGGGAATCAAACTCATGTGGAAGTGGCTTTAGATTCTCAGTGCTGTGCTTTAACCTGCTGCGTCACCAGGGAGGGCTTTAAAATTTATATTTTAATAAGAATACCAATCTACAATATCTTTTGGTTTTGAAGTTAGAATCTAACTATGTACTTCAGGTTAATTATTTTTTGGTATGGTGCACAGATGGTTGAAAAAATTTTTTTAAAGATTTATTTATTTATGCCTACAGAACTGGAGTACAGGTCAGAGGTGCAGGGGTGGCAAGAGGATTCACCAGAGACATAGTGGGGAGCAGAACAGGCAGATTGACAGAGCACACTACTGAGGGGAGCAGCGGGTGTGCCAGGAGAGGTCTGCCATGCCACGTGGGTCATCTCCCCGGCTGGGAGATCGAACTTGCACTGAAGTGGCTGTGGCTAGCTTGCAGTGCTGTACTTTAACCCACTGTGCTGCCAGGGAGGGCCCCGTTGTATTTTTTTTTTTAACATGCTTCCCTTTGAGGAATTGATGTCCTGATGTGAGGAACAACATGATGTCATATTAGTCAGAAGCTCGGTGTGACACACAAACAATATGCCAGGGTTCCTGTGAGAATATTGAGTCCACCGTGTCCCTGGGCATGTGAGTGTCAATCAAGTGAAAAGGCTACTTACTTTAAATTAAATTTGTAGAATTTAAAGCTTCATTTGGTCTCTTGGGTAAAGTTTCTAGCATACTTGTTAAATGGGAAGATCAAAGAAAATTCAGAAGAAATATGAGGAAAGGAAACAATGCCAGAATCAGCAGTCTCTGGAGGAGCAGTTCAGCGGGGCAAGCTTCTTAACACGCATGGCTTCCAGACCTGGCCAGTGTGGCCAAGATGGTGGCTGTGTGCTCAAGGGCAAGGGGCTGGAGTTTTATTTGAGAAAAAGGCCCAGAAAGGCAAATTAATCCTTCCATCTTATGTAGTCAAGGTCTTTATTTTTTGGGAAGAACATTTTTTTCAGACAGTTGATTTGTTGACATTCTAAGGTGAAAGTAATTGTAGTCTCTGGTTGCATAAATTTGCTATGTTAGCAGTAATTTACAAGTGTGAGTTAGAAATAAAGCAACAGTAATTAGGAGGTAGGCTGTAGGGTGGGCAAGAGAAGGCCTTTGAGGTGTGCCTTACAGAATAGGGCGATTTTGACCCAGAATAGAGGAGGGCATTGCCTGACACGGCATCCAAGGGACAGCATGATGAGTGGAGTGTGTGTGTAGGACCTTGTGAAGTCAAGTTGTTTACGTGAAGTCCCACAGCAAGCCAATGGTAGAGGTAGGGTCTTTCTTCTGGATTGTTCTTCCCACCTGCCCTACCAAAACCCTCCAGCAGAGTTTAATGGAGAGATTTGAGGAAGTAAAAAGCTCATTATGCTGATTGCTTCATAGCGGTTCAATGAAATCACTGTGGTTGGCATTTTCAGGGATAGAGAATGGCCCAGGTAGAGCCTCACCTCCCCAAGTCATAGCCAGAGCTACTTGGAAAACATAAGTCATGAAAACAAATAGTAATTGGATGCCTATGAAATGCCATGACCAGAGACCTCAGAAACAAAATTGACCAATATTTAGTAATTACTATACAAGGCACATTTCTAAGCATTTTATATACATACTAATACATATCTGAACTTATTTCACTATGAGGCAGGCTTCTATTAGTCCATTTTGCAGATTCAAAACAGGCATAGATTAAGGTCACATGGTGGTAGGAAGGACCGGATTCAAACTGATTCTGATCACTGGTTTCAGATGCCATACTATGATACTAATTCTTACAATGGTGAGATATGTCACTTACAGTGTACCCCTTGCAGAACAATATATACTGCAGCCTCAAACTGCTAGATAGGAAAAGCACTGGAAATAGGATTTAACAAAGATTTTGGAGTCAGGGTATAGCCAAGAGGCCTATGGAATGAGGAAAGAAAGGACTATTTCTAGGCAGAAAGACTAGCACTCAAAAATGTCCCAAAGTAATAAATTATGGAGGTTTTGGAAGCACTTGAAGTTCCTAAAGTGTCTAGGGAATGCTTGGTTTCTGACAATGATGGGCTGAGTTAATAGTCTGCACTTTTCTGCCAAAATAAAGCTAAGACTTTTTGTATAAAATACAAACCAGGGCCCTCTCTGGTGGCACAGCAGGTTAAAGCACAGCACTAAGAAGCTAAAGCCACTTCTGCATAAGTTCGATCCCCGCCCTGGAGGCGATCAACATGGCATGCAGACCTCTCCTGACCCCGCCCGCTGCTCCCCTCAGCAGTGTTCTTCCTCAGTTGGCCTGTTCTCCTCACTCTTGTCTCTGGTGAATCCTCTCACTGCCCCTGCATCTCTGGCCTGTACCCCAGTTCTGTATGCATAAATAAATCTGTGAAAAAAAATACAAGCCAAAAAAAAAAACAAACCCAGTTCTTATAGCCACAGAGTTGACACCAAGAAAAGCTATTAGGCTCAAAATAAATGAGAATCTCGAGAGAAATATAACAAAGATACATACCATATTTGATCTATTTAGGCAAACCATATTTGATTCAAGCAAAGCAGACCTCACCTTAGGTTGAGTGAGGCACAAATTGAAATCCAAAGCCTACATCCTACTCTAATAATAGAATTTCCCCACAAAAACAAAATAGCTGGCATGCCAAAGGACTGCAACCTTAGGATAAAAGAGTGGATCTGAAAAAAAAAAAAAAAAAAAGTGGATCTGAAATTAAATCCTGAGTATTGCAGGCTGGCAATTCAGGAAATCTCAAGCCTTGAACTTTGTTTAAGTGATCCTGCACTATAGTGCTTCCAGGTGTATGATAGAAATAAGTGAAATTACTCTTTGGAAGAAAAGACTTTTTACCTCTCCTCTGGTTATTTACACACATACCGCCTCCCCCAGCTATTTTTGTAAAAGGACAAAAGAAAAGGTACTATAGGTGAGAACCATTGGATATAATGGGAAACAGAAACTGATTCTTAAAGACTTGAATTACAAGAGACTTGAAGATGATTAGGATTACTAATTTCAAAGAAATAAATGATAGACTTGAAATAACCATAGGGAATGAGAGATGACAACAAATAAATGGGAATTCCTTAAAAAGGTAAGTAGAACTTTCAGAAATGAAAAATTCAATAAGTAAACTCACTCACCTTTACAGAAACTTAAGGGAAAATTAGTGAAATGGAACATTTAAAGAAATTCTTAGAGGTTGTCTTAGTGCTATCACCTGAATTGGATCCCCAGGCCAGGGAGCTAGCCCACATGGCACAAAAAACTTCTGTCTCATCCCCTGCTCCCTTCAGTGAATCTGCCTGTTATGCTCCTTACTACCTCTGGTGGATCCTCTCACCCTCTGTACCTCTGGTTATATCCCAGTTGTTCTATGCAAAAAAAAAAAAAAAAGAAAATTTTTGTGCATAAAATTAACAACTTAGATGAAGTGGACCAATTCTTCAAAAACCATAAACTACATAAACCTTTATGAAATAGATCATCTGAATAGCCCTATAAATGTTACCCTTAATAGTTATATGGAGTTGTAATTTAAAAATTGTTGAAATATCCAGACCAGATAGTGATGATTTCATTGAAAAATTAACAAGATATTTCAAGATTTGGCTCTACTCTATTATCATTTCTTCCAGAAACAAGAGAAGCAGACAACACCTTCCAACTCATTTTATGAGGTCAGTATTATTTTGATACCAAAACCAGATGGGATAGTGTAGGAAAACAAGAAACTGCAGACTAATATTCTGTGAGCTGAGCTGCAAAATCCTCAGTAAAATATTAGCAAATTGAATCCAGCAATATATGAAAATTACATAGCATGACTAAGGGTTTTATTTAAGATATGCAAGGCTAGTTCAGCATCCAAAAATGAGTCCAGGTAATTTATCATAGTGCTAGGGAAGAAGTTTCTATGACCATGTAATTAATGTAGGGAAGACATTTGACAAAATTCAATTCGCATTCTTGATAAAAACTCTGTAAACCAGGACGATGGGAACTTCCTCAACTTGAAAAAGAGCATCTACAAACAACCTAGCTACTTAGTGATGAAATCAGTCCTTTCCTCCTAAGGTAGGAGACAAGTCAGGATTCCCTTTGGAACTCTTAAGATAGTACTAGAAGTCCTAGTCAAAACACTAAGGTAAGTTAAAATTAAAAACATACAGATTGGAAAGGGGAAAGTACCCTCCCTACTTGCAGATGAAATGATTGAAATGATAAAAGTAAGGAATCTACATAAAACCTCTAGATATAAGGGAATTCAGCAAGATCCCAGGTTAAAATATCAATACACAAAATAAAAATGCATCAGAGAGACAAAGATGGGGGGAAAGTGGGTTAAAAGAACAAGTAATTCCCCATGTTTAATCTGAGTTCCAGCAACATCTGTAGAAAAATAACCAAGACTATTTCAGTTGGTGAGGCTCCAATCTACAGATCAGAGAAACCCAAAGACTTCTGATCAAAGGAGGAAGGAGAAAAGGGAGGAAGGAAAATGACAAAAAGAAATTCCATCCAGATTCATGAATGTGGAGCCTCCCTGGGATTAAAGTTTTAGCCCTATCAAGCTGTAGCCAGCCACTGCAAGGTGAGTTCAATCCCTGGCCAGGGCTAGCCCACATGGCGGTAGACTTCTGTCCCTCCAGCTGCTCCCTTCAGCAGTGTTACCCGCCTGTTCTGCTCCCCACTCTGTCTTTGGTGAATCCTCTCGCCCCACTCCCCCCACGCTCCACACCTCTGGCCTGCTCTCCAGTTCTTGTATGCATAAATAAATCTTTTTTAAAATTAAAAAGACTCATGAGTGTAGAATTCTGAAAAAGGGGGTGAGCTGACGCTGGAGAAGTACGGGAAGCTGAAGGTTAAGTGAAAACAAAGTTAGAGTGAGGATGATACTCTCATTTCTGACCGGGGCAATCCGGTGGACTGTTGAGTCATTCAACAGTCACCATAGTCACCTTAGCCACACAGGACACGACTAAGGAAGGGCTCGTTTGGGACACAGTGACTATGGTGTTGGTAAAGCCCAGCCACCCACCAAACGGGAGACCGGTGGCAAGGACCACCCGCAGAGCGCAGACCGCCCTCCCCCGGAGGTCCCGCGCCAGGCGCGCGAACGCGGCGTCCGGAGCACGGCGCGGGGCGCGTCTCCGTAAGCCGGCG